CTTATCTTGTCTGATTACTTTTTCCCAATTCAATCCTACTGTTTTCCCATTTTTAATGTTTTAATTTACTTGTTTCTTTTCTTTTTTCTTACTTATTAATAAAATTACATTCTGTTATGATTTTGTGGCCAGGTTAATTAATATTCATGATGATCACGTGCGTATAAATTTAAATGGCGTCAAACCACAAACCCACTTGATGATTTCCACCTGAAATTTCTACCAGCTCTTTTTGTCCATCCTTTCTTCTTTTTCACCTGCCAGTACATATCTTTGACTCAAGTGCAGTTGAACTATGCATAAACCAACTTGAGAGGTTGTCTCTATAAGAAGTTAATCAAACTGATAGAAGAAAGATGAAAGAAAGAAGAAAAAGTCTGAACAATTTTGCTGAAATTTGAATTTGAGCCTCTTTTCCAGAAAAGCTCCCGCCACATTTCAGTCCACTAAAGGCACCAGCAGAATTGCTCAGTGAAGGAGAGCTCATCTAAGCCATTTATAAGGCACAGCTAGTGTACAGCGTAAGATAAAAGAGTTATAAGCAATTAACAAGCGTAACAGTGTAAAAATATTCCTATAATTGTTTTCACCACTTTGCATGTGCAGCTGGGTTCTTATTAAGACTTATGAAGGTTCTCTCTTCCTTCTAATTCTTCCAGAAAAGACTTTTAGATAGTATCTCTATGTTCTTTCGTTGTTATAGAAAGCTCATAACTTTGTCCCATGTGCAAGCCGCCATTTTGTTTGCCGTAAAACACACCCACTTACGTAGCATGGGCGGGTGGTTGCTAAGGCTTGTTATTTCTTCAATACAACGTGTATAGAAGAAATGTAAGTGTTGACATACAAATATATATATATATATATATCGCATGTGGGTGAAATCAATTATAGGACGACCTGGGGGCTACACCCTCAGGTCGTAAAAATTATAAAAATGGACACCATCTTGAAAAATCCACCTAAATCCTACATATAGGCTACCACCTATATAATGTCATGTACCATAAGTAGGGAATATCCTCCTTTCCCCTTGTGTAAAACACTAAAATCAATTACATGTATATGATAATTTTAGAGTGAACCATTCAGTTTTTTTGATCAGTTAACTGATTTTGCTAAGGGGTCCAGGTTCTCTGCTGGACAGGAATTACAATTTACTTGTACATGTAATATTATATTATTGTACAATGTGTATGCTTGTTGATTATTAATGATTTAGTAACTCAGTTAATGTTGTTGTATGTAATGTCACAATTCATGATATTTTTAATCATGTTTTGGTAGGTACATTGTATTTTTTAAAGTAGAAAGTTTGGAGTGTCAAATTTGGCGAAAATGAATGACTCTGAGGCTACGTTTACAAACCAATGCAAAACACATCGTTTTAAAAGTACTGTATTTCCTCGAATAGACCCCACAGTTATTATTGATTTCAGGAAAGATAATATCAGGCTATTATTTGAGGGCAGGTACTAATAATTTCAACTGAGGCTAATAATTTTATCAGTTAATCTGTGAGGCCTTAATCTTCTGTCAGTAGAAGTCTTTCTTTTCTACCTAGAGATGTTTAGAGAGCAGCTCTAGCTACTGGAAGCTTTTTAACTCACGAGAGAATGCCCAGCAATAGCGGTAGTACTCTGGTAGTAAGTGAGATTCATCTTCTTGGCTGTTTACAGTGCTTTTGACAACTAGACCAACCAACCAAGGGATCAACTATTTGCTCAAGTTAATTTAATTAAGCTCAGCACATAGGTACTGGCATTATGCTGGCACGTTCAGTGCTATTAATAATGCCACACCCAAAATTTATTTAAATTAAACTATGCGGGTACAATTAGAGGGTGGCTACTATTTCACTCAAAAGTTGACTGGTGCAGGGACTACATGTATTTGAGGGTGGGTAATAATCGACGTGCGGGGTCTATTCGAGGGGTCTATTCGAGGAATTACTGTATCCACTTTGAACACCTTTTTTGTTTCTATAGAGTGCTATCAGGATCGTATCACGTTTTTATTCGTTTCTGTGTAAACAGAAGCATAAAACAGGCACAAAACTATACGGATTGCATCTTTTCTTTGCTGTGTAAACCTGGCCTGAAAGAGGTTTGGATGATAAGTTTTGCCAAAATTTTATGTTGCAATGCCGCTAGCCTGCTACAGTACCCTATCAAATTGGAGACTAATTTTAGCAAATGGACCTCAATTTGCGAAATTTTCCAAATTTTACTTGCCGAATTTTTTTTAGCTACCTTAAGCCTACTATTTTTAACGTCTACTAAATTTAGCTATAATAGCGAGAGAACTTTAAATCGCTAAATTAAATAGATGCCAAAATAATTATTATTCATTACAATGGTTATTATTTATAGTTAATTTAGTTAAAAATGCTAAAATTAGTAACGCTAAACATGACTTTTGCTGATTTCGCTAAAATTAGTAGACGCAAATAATAGTAGGCTTAAGGTATATGGTTCTATTTTAATACATGTAGGTGTGGTTTTTGTTATAATTTTTGTGTTTTGCCTTTTTTTGCTTATTTTCTGTTTGATTGCCCTTGCCACACGTAGGCGTATGGGCAAGGATATATGATTCGATTTGTCTGTGTGTGTGTTAGCAAGAAGTTTAAATCAAGCTGCTCCTGCTCTCAGGATAAAATCTCCAAAGACTCAAAACTAGTTTTTCTGAATAGAAGAGATTGTTTTCTTTCATTTTAAGAGCTTTTTACTCTTTTGTAAGGTGGCAAAACCTGACAAAAGCGAAGCAAAGACAGCTCAGCCTGTCAACTTTTTGTTATGGCAGTGGCAGAATTTGTTGTAGCCAGGCTTGGGGCGAGTACTTTGGTACTCGTACTTAAGCATGCTTAAGCACAAGTTTGAAAGTACTCGGTATTTACTCAAGTACTTTTGAACAAAAATTACAAATACTCGTACTGTACTTAAATACTAGTATGTTTTTAGTGCTTACAAGTACTTTGAAGTACATTTTTTGATGCAATGCTAATGTGTTGATATAATAAATACTAGCTAGTGTAAACCACATATATTTACCTCCTGTGGGTCCCATACTATGACACTGGTCAGTTTGGATTTGAAAAGTTCATAAGATGTAATAACCGTCTGATTTAATTTATTAATTTTAAAACTAACTTATTAATTATTTGGGTGTGGTCAAGTGCTTAAGTAGTACTTAAGTACTGCAATAGAGTACTCGTACTCATACTGAATACAATTGTAAAAATGAGGGATTTGTACTTGTACTCATTTTAAAAATCTAACAGGTACTTGTAATGTACTTAAATACTTTTTAAAGTACTTCGCCCCAAGCCTGGTTGTAGCATCATAACAAAGGTAATAGCATTAAACTTCAAACTTATGTGGGGATTTTCTTACTTTTCTTTCTTTTGTATGATATGACAGTGTAAAAACTGTACTAGGTATGTCAAATATGGCCTCTTGAATCTCAGTAGAGAAGGCAGCCAGTATCCTGAAACTGCCTTGAAGTAGAAAGAAGTCTGCAAGTAACTAGTACCGTGTCAAAAGAGCTTTTACAACTTAGAAAACCTCAAGCTTTTGAAGGCCTAACTGTGTATGTGTAGCCATGCATAGATATTAGAGTAAATGAAAGGGATTGGAAACAGGGCGTAGCAATTAACAGGAAAATGCAAGTTAATATTACAGTAAATAACCTCTCTAATTACACGTATGTAAAATTAAAAATGGCTGAAAGTTGAAGCAGGTATGCATACTTCTTAGGTAGTTTTTTGTCGCATAAAATCTTACTTTGTTCAGGTCACCCTTCAGAAATATTCTTCCTATTTGCCCAAGCTGTCTTCTGTAGCAATGTATCCGTTTGCAGTTTAATCAGTGCTTTATAAATTATCAATCATTGTTGATCACACTTACTGTATTTAATTCTATATTTTGTTTTGTACAACCTAATGAATAGAAACGGTTTCGGGAACCTCTGGTGTGTTGTAACTATTACAATGGTGGTGTGATAGCTAATGTCACAGACTCTTAGGTTTTTATGTTAAGGGTACAAAACAAATGTCTCAAATTTATCAGTAAATTGATCATTACGGAAAGACGTATTATTTTTTCCAAACAAACTATAGTGGGCGACCTCCACATTTTGGTACTCTAATTATAATGATTATATCATTTACTGTCATCTGTCTATCACTTTTGAGATAAGGGTACAAAACAAATGTTGTTAGAACCATTCACATGTCAGAGCAAATAATCAGTGCAGATGATGATGCTAGCTACATATAAAATTGTCTGGGGATAGATTCATGTCTCCTCTGCTTCCTTTGATATAAATAATGGCGTATATGGCACCACTGCTGGAATGACAGGTGTCAAAAGGACAGTTCTTGCTCCAAGACAGCCCCATTGCTAGATGCAAACATCAACCCGCATCTGTCTCCTAGCGATGTATAAGATGCCCGTTTCTGATCCCTTTCATTTACCCTAAAATCTATGAGCCATGTTGGCACTTGAAACCACACCTATACAATTAATGTGGTCTCGTGGGGCCAGACTCAATTTTTAGAATAGAGTCTGGTTTCAATCCTAACATCAACTCGTGCTTGTCTGGTGGATTTGATCGACCTAATCAGGTCACTGTTACCATGGTTACATTAGAATCCACCCACGCACGGCAAGCTACTATCAAGAATGGAACTGACTGAGCTATTACATATACTTTCTTTCTATGACTTACTACTACAACTGCTGACTGGATTGCCTTTATCTGCTCTGATGGTTAGACAATTAGGCAAGTAAAGAAATGCTTCTAGAAATAATGTGCTTGTATCCGAGATGAATTCAGCTGCCATGATTGCTCCAACTTCAGTACTGCCAAAAAAAGCCCAAAATGAAAAGTACTTTACTGCTTTATTTTTCTTGATGTCAGGAAGCAAGTATAACATTCTTTGCCCACGCAAATCAAAACATTGAAACATGAGTTGATATTAGGCATGGCACCAGACTCTTATTCGGTAAATTAGAGTCTGGCTAGCGAGACTACAATTAATGAGCTTAATATTAGCCACACCTTTCATCAATTATCAATAATAAATCTATTGCTTGTGTTGCAAGGGTATTAGTCTCACCCCGCCCCTTTGCTTACAGGTAGCGAAGGGGCGGGGCGAGACTACAAGGGTCTGCACTTTTAGTGCTTTTTATTAAAAAGATTAATTGATGGTATTTGTCATGATAATTAAAGCCTCTTCTATTTTTGTTTTGCAAAAGGGTTATTGGGATCATGCTCAATTATTTTGTCAGCTATTTTAAGGAGAAGAGTTTGCAGTAGGGAAATTCACCCAATTTTTATGCTGTCTCTTGCTGACTGCCTTTTGTCTGGTTTGTGGATAGCTGGATCTTCTATTTGGCTTAGTAATCTTAGTGACAGAAACTTTGATCGTGTATATTGCTATCCAATTACATTACTGACTGGGGTATATGTTGTACATTCATAATTCTTTTCTTTATCATTGATGTTCATGTAGATGGTGGAATGTGTGGCACTAAATTTGACATTGGTGTATGGATTGCTTGCTTACTATAGGACAAAGAATACAGATACACATATTTTCCTGGTAAGTATATACTGTACATTAAAATTTATAATGAAGATAATAAATATTATTGTTATTGTTTAGTTGCCATCTAGTCAGAGACAAAGAGGAATGAGCTTCAAAGCTGTGGCATTTTTATATTTAATAGCATGGTAACAATTTAAAAGTTAATGATTGAAACTCCATAAATTTGTAGGACATTTCCAGTCATTGTCATGGCAACAGTGTTTGGTGTTACGGCTGGAATAACTGGCTTTCTATCAATTACACAATCATGTTCATGCTGGTTAGATATTGTTATTGATAATCAAGTACTTTTGAAATTGAAATAGGTGCAGACCTACAATTATAAACATTTTACCTTTTGCTCAATTCAAAGATAAGGTATAGTTCACCAATGTATACTGACATTGTTATGAGTTAATGTGTATAGGAGTCCAGTGATTACATGAAGCGTCAGTTATATTTTACAGTATCAATAGGATGTGTCTTAGCTCTTCAGTACATTGTTGTATTTGTGCTTTTGGTGGTAATTCATTATGTAATAAATGCATGCGTAATTATTTTTTTTTCAGATTTTATATGTAAAAACTTTGTCAAAAATTGCAAGTTTAAAAAAAGATTATGGTAAATTGACAAATTTAGTGGAGATCATTCATTGTCTTCATAGAATCTCGAAGTGAAGCATACAATTATGGTGCTACTGCAATATTAGCTAGAGGACAGTCTAGAGCTGCAAAAAGAGTGATGTTGTTTCTGACAGTGTTTGTATTTAGTGGTTTCTTTAGTGAGTTTATGAAATTTTAATTTTCATTTGTATAACAATTATTTTTGCAGATTTGTGCTGTGCTGTAATGCTTCTTCTTTTGATGCTTAAGCTCCAGAATAATTTTGAAATGAAAAAATGGAGTGATGCATATAACTTTTTCTTATTTGCTCAGGTATATATATACTATTACTATAAGAAATAAAGTGTCACTGACTGTTTTGTAACTAGTCACTGACTCTGCCACTGCAAGGATTTTTAAATGCTATAGTTTATGGGTGGACAAGAGAAGATTTTGTTTCAACAATGTCTTTTGCACTTCACAATGATCAACAAGATGAAGCGTTTCGTGAAAATGATAAGGAAAGATCATTTACCAGTACAACAGAAAGTTGTACATCACCAAGAGTCAGCAAAGATAATAAATAACTGTCATCAATAATAGTTGTACTTGTAAATATAATGACTTCAATCATTGTGTGACATTTGTGGTTGTTTATACTGTGTACAAGTCATACCAATTAAAAATACTATCAACAGTGCTATAAAAACTAATGTAATCTTGAATATATTATTCTGTGCCTTCTCTTTGTCAACCTGCAATAATTATTACTGCCTTGTCAAATTATGTTATCTTTACTAACCTGAGATAAGTAGATTGAAATTAAACCATGCCTTCTGTACTTTTCAGGAAAAGGCTTTACTACTGTAGCACAAGATTCATTTGACATTTTCAATATATTTTTTTCAGTTTTTTGTATAAAGTCAAGTTCCTGTGAACAGAAGCAATTGGCACATGTTTTTGAAAACATCCTGAAAAATATTTTGATACAATAATAAAAAATATAATTGTCTATACGTACTCAAAATCTATCAAATTTTTTGTGCCCATTGGTGCAGCTACAACGACACAAGCTTCGATTGCACACCAATTTTTAGAGCAGTTTGTAGCTATAATACAGATTTGTATAAATTTGGCAATGTGCTCTTCACATTGTGTACCTTTAGATGTATTGAAAACTGAAAACACATGCAAATTTATATCTGTTCTACTTTGGCTCTGATCTACATACAATAAATAATCAAAGTCAGTAGATAATACTAGTTAACATGTACATGTGAATTACCTACAATCTTGGTATGTAGCTCCTTTCCTGTCAAGTCAAGTGTGAGTAGTTTGCCTTTGGGAACATCAGAATGTATTAAGAATGTCACAAATAATCCAAAGTTATCAGTTCTACTATACATGTATGAATAATTTCCAGCAGAATTTATCTCAGTCTCATTGTTAGAGTAAAAGCAGAATTCTGTTCGAGGGAGACTGCCAAGGAATGAGTTCAATGTCTAAAAAAATTATAATTAAACATGGCTTCACACGATCATTCTTAGCTATTTCTTTTCGAAAAATGACAGAGTTACACAAACGCTATGAGCCTGCCTGTTTGCGGGATAATGAACATAGATGTACATGAACAAATGCCAAGTACAGCACATTTGTTATCAAATGATATTAAGCTTTGGAAAGAAAGTTTATAATAATTATTTCATAATGTTATTTGTGACTGAGATAGTGGAGGGCACTTCAAAGTGGGATCTATAATAGCCACTAAGCCTTCTGCATGCTTATGATGGCTGTGATATTGTTTAGTCAAACTCCAACTGTCTGTGTACAACATGTATCAATACCATACCGTTAGTAATTTTCAGGGAACAATTTATTTTTTATTAATTTTGCAATTCAGTTTCATGCATTAAATTTCAACCCTTATCACCTACACATAGATAACACCGTAACAGACCATGCAGAGTTCTAATTACCACTATCAAGCTAGTGGAGGAGCAAGAGTCATTGTCTATTACTTCACATTCCACTGAAAGCCATGTGTCACAAGCTAGTGTTGCAGATCCAAGTGAAAAGAAGTTTGCTAACTGCCAGCCACAAATATTTGTACCCTCAAAAATTACCAACACGCTACTATCACATTAAAAGTGCTGACCACCTACATGGTCAATGTTAACAACCAAATGAGTTCAAAAAGTAAATAATATTAAAAATACTAACTTTCATTTTGTCAAAATCTGGCAACTCTGAGGAATGATCCATATATACTACCAATAATGGACAACAACACGCCAAAACAACAAGAGACAACATAAAAATGAAGGCAGAAGGATCACTAGTAATGAAACGCAATCTTCTAAAGTGAGTAGGTCCCGAATTCATACAAAGTTGCTGGTTGTTATCAGGAGTACAGTGACCTTCAGACTCCATTTTAGATTTCTATGTTTTTTTTCAATTTTTCATTTTTGAATAGACGTAGGAATACCTTATTTTGATAGTTGGAAGATATACGGTATTTTGCTCACGTGTTTGGTTAAATGGCGGCTCAGTGAAGCATCCATTTTTGAGAGGATAATCACGCCCTTGATGAGTGAACCATTTGACAGTATTTTGTAAGTAATTCTCGTTGTAAACCTTTTATTATTGTTATACCGTTGATTTTTAAGTCGCAATATATTCTTTTTGTAAAGGGGTGGTTAAGGGGGTGGTACTCTTACTTATTTTTTCAGTGAGTTAAGAAGGGCCATAATTACTTTTTGATAGACAGCCCTGATTTTACCTTTAGTGATTATTGCCACAACAGAAATTAATTTTGTGAATTTTATCCTTATTTTCAGGTACTTGAGGGGCTTTACAATATGTTAATTGTTTTTATCAAAAGGGAAGTCAAGTAGTGGTAGCTATGCTAAGTGGCAGTATATTTGATTTGAAGAAGCTTTAGTTTTTAAAAAATGATGATTTCACCGCCTTAAAATTAAGGATACATGTACATGTACATGTACAGTAGTACATTTTACATGTACCATATTTTCTTAAGTAGAAGTCAGATGCGAATGAACGCCAGGGTAGTAATGGGATTGAACAATAAATACACAAAGTCTAACCTCAAAGTAACTCAGTAGCCTTGTGGATACTTCTTTCAGTTCTCTGAAGTGAAGTGAATGGGTCGGGTCACGGGGTTTGAATCCCGGTGTGGGCCTAAGTTTTATTTTCTTTTTCTTACTCTTTTCGAGGTTCAAATACCATTTTAGGAAATAGACGCACGGGCTTTTATTTAAGGAAATACTGTATGTGTATCGTTACTATTGTACATGTTCAACTAAAATCCTTGACTTCAGATTGATGTGATGGTGGCTTCTGAATCATTATATAGATCCTTTTGACATGTTACCATACTGATTCGACTTGGTCTTCAATTAGCTAATATGCACTTGCATGTGTTTCGTAAATGTTCATGTGCATTCACCTTTAGACATCTACACGTACATATGGACTGACAGGTGTTTATTAAATAAATGTATGTTTTTAAATGACCTGGGGGTTAGGTCCCAAGTCGTACCTATAATTGATTTCACCCGTGTGCGATGTTTGTATACGTCCACGTTTACATTTCTTTTATACACGTTGTATTGGAGAAATAACAAAATTAATATACCTTAGCTACCATCCGCCCACGCTCTTTATGTAGTGGGTGTGGTCACGGCAAACAAAATGGTGGGTTAAACATGGTTGAGCTTTTGAACACCTAGAGAACATAGAGATTATTAGAAATACTGTCTTAAGACTTCTCTAAAAGCATTAGAAGGTAGAGAAAACCTCTATATAAGTCGTAATAATAACCTAGTTGTACTTTATGCATGCAAGGTTGTGTAAAGAATTATAGGAATATTTTTACACTGTTACGCTTGTTTTATTTTCTCAAGATGTCAAGATAGCTGTGGTTGGAACATATACAATACTTTTACAAGTTTAATTTTTAAGTTCCCAATGAGTTGGGCAATGAAGTGTCTGAAGTTAAGTTGTATTATGCATTGGGTCCCTCTAAAGTTTTAAATAACCACAAAAAGTTAGTGTTTTTTGAAACAGCAGACTTCTTGTTGTACATGTAATGTATGTTCATGCTTGTACATGAAGTAATGTAGCACATTGGTTCCAAATTCCAATGCATGAACATACTAAATCTCCAATCGATTGCATTAATTGTTCTTGTAATTTTATGCAAAGCGGAAGCATACATGTACATATGAGTGTTTCACACTTGTACTTTTATATTTTGTTGTGTGCTCCTGGTACACGTAACTGTTTGTATGTCAGTGTGACCATGTATGAATTAATGCATAGTTGCATTTTTACTTGTACACGTATTTGTACTTGTTTTTAGAAGTAACTATGGCGACAAAAAGACCTCGTGCAGATGATTCCTCTCCTGAAGTTTCAATGAAACATCCTAAGACTGATGAACATAAGAAAGTCCCGCTAACTGTACCTAGTGAATCTTCTTCTACTTCATCTCAAGCATACATTGCACTCCCTGCTATTGTTCCAACTGTATCTTCTGTTTCTACAAACCAGCAGCCACCTTCATCTTTGAATGTTCCTAGTGGTATTATTCCTTTAGGATCTACCCATCACCATAATGTAGCCTCATCTCAGTCATATCCAGTGACACATGTTGCAGCATTAGCAAACTTATCAGCATCTTTATCTCGCTCTGTTGATACCCAGTCTTTGATTACGCCAACAACTGCTGTTGTCATCCCTACACCACTTGTACCATCAGTGACTCCGATTTTGCCTTGTACACCTCCTCCACCTTATTCTACTTCAGAAGTGACTGATGAGTTTTCATGTTCATCGCCCTCTCAGTTTTTGCATTCTCCGAATACAATTCAGACGACATCTCCTTTAATGGAGAGAAGACCTTCTTCTCCTGATAAGCTGAGAGTGAATGATGACACGAAAAGTCTTCAAATGAAGATATTAAATTTGAAAAGGGCAAAAGAAATTGAACTGAAAGTTAGTTATGAGAAGATGTTACAAGAGAAATTTTTTCTTGAAGGAGGAGGCAATATGATGGATTATCAAGTTTGGCGAAAGAAACCCAACATCCTCAAGGATCAGTATCTCAAACAGAATGATCTTGATTCTGACATATTGGTTTTTGAGGAATTGCTTTCTCCTCGTGATCCATCTCAAATAAGAGATAAGCTAGAGACTGAAGCACTTTTGGAGGAAGACACATCTATTGATATGGATACTTGTTCATTTTCAAGACAGTCAGCATCTGCTGATGTTCATTCTAGTAATGTTGTTGCCGTCACGGTTTCACAGGCTTCAACAAATAATTCTCTGTATCAACCATCAACTCCTGCCAGTAATGTCACATCCCCTTCTCATTCCCTTAATCTTTCCTCTCCTCGACCTGCTCTTCGTATGCATTCAACATTGTCATCAGTACCTGATGTTTCTCATGAAGATATTGTGATGAGAGCACGACATGAAGCTGAAGTTATGAAAGCTATTTCTGAGTTACGTAAGGAAGGAATGTGGTCTGCCAGTCGTTTGCCTAAAGTTCAAGAGCCATCACGTATTAAAACACATTGGGATTATCTTTTGGAAGAAATGAATTGGCTGGCAACTGATTTTGCCAATGAAAGGAGGTGGAAAATTAATACATGCAAAAAGGTACGATATTACATTGACTGCATGTACACTGTACATACATGTACATGTACATGCATGGTATAACCTGCACATTGTACATGCATGTACATCTGCATGTAGCCATTTACATGTACATGTGTTTGACTTATAGCTACATGCCTGTACATGGATTTGTATGAAAGTATGCTTGTTTCTAAATTTGAATGTACAATGTACATGTACAAAGTATATGATTTTATTTGGATGTTGATCAATTTATTTAATTTTTGTGATGAATATGAGTGTTATACATGTACATGTACATGCACTATTTTCCTCTTTTCCCCCTTCTTATTTCATGCAGTCTTATTATTTTATACCTTTTGTTGTAATGTATGCATTCATGTATATCATTGTTTTACTTTGCTATTCAACTTGTATTTTAATAGCTTTGTCGTACTGTTGCACGTCATCATCAGGAACAAGAACAGCTAACTGAGAGAGCAATTAAAGAAGAGCAATTAAGGCTCAAGAAGATAGCTTCAACACTTGCCAAAGAAGTGAGACATTTTTGGGACTCTATTCAAAAGGTACAAAAATATTTCCCATTATTTGTACAAGTACGTGCGCAAATTGCATGGATACATGTACATGTAGATGTGCTACTTTTGGGAATGCATGCTGCATTATTTAAACAGAATCTGCAAATATTTCTTTAACAAGTTCTGAGCCCTTAAAAATTTTGCACTGTCTAGATCTGTTGGTGCTAAGAACATGTATATTCATAGATTTGTGATACCATCAATAAAGTAAAAATTTTCTGCTGCCTTTTTTGAGCCAAAGTTTATTTACAGTACATTTGGAGAAAGCAATAATTTTGCTTGTATATTTCCTAACAGCATTGATAAAAATTTCATAAGATGACTTTTTACACTGAATGATAGTGGTACATGTAAGTAAATGGTAGTAAGATTGCTATTACAAATAAATACAGCAGTTTTGGGAGAAATAAATACTTTCATGATCTCTCCAAGTCTCCTTAGACATACATCATTTTCACTTTTGTACTACATTGTACATGCTTTGCTTGCTAAGGCTAGCTATTCGCCCCTTAATTGCTTTACATTCATCTTGTGTTTTCATTCTACTTTTCATTTTAAATAGATTGTGGAGCATAAACATCATGTTATACTGGAAGAGAAACGTAGACAAGCAAGGGATGTCCATTTGAACTACATTGTGGATCAAACTCAAAAGTACTCAACATGGTTAATGCAAGGTTTGAATCCACTGGAGACAACTGATCCATCATTGACATCAACTGGATTGCAATCTGGTAATTATTAATAATCTGTAGTGTTCATATTCATGTACTGTACATGTGCATGATCTATTGTACATGTGTATGATATGTGTACATGTACATGTAGGTGCTACTGATGATACTATTTTTACTCCTGTTGCTGAAGATGGAAGTGATGATGAAGAAACAATTGATTACGAGGAAGTGACTGCATTAAAGGTATAGTAAATGCACAGGGTGTTATACATGTATTATAATTTAAAAATATTAGAATGTTTGAAAAGTCGAAAAGGCTAATTGTATATTTGACTTAATTGCTTGTATAAATTGACGCTTGCTCTAGACACGCTATTTTATTTTTGCTACATGTACATGCAAGTAAAGTAGATGTACAATTTACATGTAATTACAATGCTTGTACATGAATACCTGTACATGTATGTACATGCATGTAGGTGTATATCGTTACTGTAAATACAATGTACATTTACATGTACATGTTGGTGGATCGATCGTCATTATTATTATGTCTTGAAGTTATGATTCTGCTAGTCTTAGCTTTTATTCATACTTTAGGAAGGTGGTGTTGACTATGAAACTGAAATAAGTCAGCTTCTTATTGAAGGAGAGATGCCATTGACTGATTTAATAGCAAGTATTCCTGGTGGTGCTCTAGAAGATAGAAGTACTGAAGATCATAGTGATACTGAAGTGAAAAGGTGCACTGTGTGATTTGAATATTTTAATCATCTTGATCATTTTTATTGTGGCCTTTTTTGTTAGCATTTAAAGCTTTTTCACCTTGCAAAATTAGTACATTGGTGTGTTGCACATTAATTAAGGTAACACTAGGGTGGTTTCAAATTATCGTTTAGTGGGAAAGTTTGGCGGAGATTTGACGGATTTGCAGTTCAAAATAAAACTGCCAATATCTGTCAATAATAATTGTAATGATGGGCTGATTCCATGATACATCATGAGTAGTTGAGCACATGATATTACTATAGATGCCAAAATGGCAGTATTTCTCACTATTTCTGTCAAGACTGGGGCATGCAAGGTCAGCAGGCTTGCTGCTTCATTTTTTACACTAGTCTAGTTGCATGGTGATTTTGCATGTGCATTGTTCATGTAATCATTTCTCTTGCCATGTGTAGGTGTATAGGCAAGGGTATATGAGTCATCCTGTCTGTGTGTTAGCAAAGTTATCTGAATTAAGCTGCTCCTGCTCTCAAGGTAGATTTTCCAGGGATTCAAAACTTCCTTTCCTGCCTAAGTGAGCTTGTTTTTTTGCTTCCGTGATCTTTTTAAAGTATTGTGAGGCAGCAAAAGCTGGCAAATTTGAAGCAAAGAGTACTTTGACAGTTAATTTTTAGTTATGGCAGTGGCAGAATTTTGTTGTAGCATCATAAGAAAAGTAATAGCATGAAACTTCAAACTTATGTGGGGATTTTCTTACTTCTCTTTCTTTGGTATGATATGACAGTGTAAAAACTGTTCTAGGTCAAATACTGCCTCTTGAATCTTAGTAGAGAAGGCAGCCAGTATCCTCAAACTGCCTTAAAGTAGAAAGAAGCCTGCAAGCAATTTCATGTAGTAGCACCTACTAGATGTGTCAGAAGAGGTTTTAAAACTTTGAAAACCTCAAGCTTTTGAGGGCCTGTCTGTGTATGTGTAGCCATGTTGGCATTTGAAACTGTCTCTTTAATTAATACTGGCTACACCTTTCATCAATGATCATGAGCAGTAAAATTAAATTTACTGCAGTCTGCAGTAGTATGGCTTAAAATTAATGTAATGTATTTTCCGTGGCAAGGGTCTGCACTTTAAGTACTTTTCATTTTTCTTGTGTTGATGTGTATTTTATTCTACTGTAGCCCTGCTGAAGAAATGGACTGTGAAGCCAGTAATGATGATGATTACTCTAGCGTATCAGATGGTGATGATCCTGAAGATGAAACTACTATTGCAGAGCAAGAGGCTTTTGAAGAAACTGATGATCATTCACAAGAGATTAGCATGCTTGAGGAGGAAGGTTTGTCTGTTGTTCTCAAGCATTTAATGTACATGTAGTTATGAAACTATACACTTTTACATGTCTGGCAATTAAATGCTTACACTTACAGCATCAAAATGATCAAAGATTACTTACCAAAGTGTTGCACTATGCAAGTGTCAAGCTAATTTCTTAATTTATTTTTATGTTTTAATTCATAATTTTTCAATTATAGGGAAATTACCTGTAGAAGAGCTATTAAGGCACTACATGCAGTCAAAGAGTGACAGTACATTTATGTCTGATGTAGAGACTGACTACAGTGGATCTTATGGTAGTCATGATGAGTTTAGTGATAATGAAGAAGTTGGAGATGATGATTTAGGCTTAGAGTCTTTGGTTTATTTTGATGATGAGAAGGAAGAAGTAATTTTAAGACTGACTAATTTACTTTTATTGGCTTCATGTATATGCAGATAGGTCAGACTGAGCAAGGCTTTAATGATGCAGCTGCTGCAGCTGAACAGTTTCAACCCAAGGGAACTACCCTTTCAACGACTGAGGTACTGTACATGTACATAGATGCATGCATGTACATAGATGCATGCATGTACATAGATGCATGCATGTACATGCACGAATCCATCATGCACACATGTACATGCTACATGTATAACGATAATAACGTTAAGTTTGTTAACATGTCTTATGGATGTAGTGTTTTATTTTATGCTTATGAATTAACTCTACAGCACTGGTCAGCAATAAGTTGACATGTTTTGTGTTTAAGTTGTGTTTGAGTTTGCTATGGTTTGTCGTTTTCATTGCAATATACTAGTTGTGAACTAACATTATCCATGCTCAGGTGTTACCACAATCTCTGGAAAACATTACTTGTGTAAATTCAAACTTGATGTGGTTGCTTATCTATGTATTATCATATTTTATTGTGTTCACCAAGCTAGTTTAGTATAGTTGATCATTCCTTTGTCAACTAATTGCTGACCAGTGCCCATGTTCGTGTTTGTGTACACATACTATGCATTTTATAAAGTAAGGATACATGTATAAATTAATTAACAGTCATTGATACTACATGGCACATGTACATTTAATATTAAGAGTACATAACAACATTCCATTCTTACTTTGGTCCAGCTTGTCTTCCATTCTCAGAGACTTGTGCTTGTATTTTAATGTTGTTGACAGTGTTATTTATTAAGTACTTGAAAAAGTCAATTAATTATTATAGATTTTACTGAAGATAGTTAGTTAAATTTGTGTAACCAATCTGAGGAAACCTTTTGCTGATAGTCTGATACCATATACATGTAGGGCTGTTTTTTGAGGAGCAAAACCTTTGTGGTTTCAGTAGAAAGGCATGTAACTGCCAAAGTAACGATCTGCAAAATATTTAATTGCTATGAAGGGTGTGACACTGACATTGTGAATTCATAATTTAATTTTGAAAAATTCCTAAAAAGTGTGCAAAAGTTTGTTCCATAAAAATTAAGCACAATATGGTAGTGATTTTTAGAGAATGTTATAATGATTGCTTATATATACATTTGTAAATCTGGATGTAAAGTACATGTAACTAAGGCACTCAGTCAGGTCATATTGATGTGGTAACTACAAAATGCTCATGTACATGTATGCTTGTACTACATTGATGCACTAACCTTTTTTGATTGGTTATTTTTTATAGGTTAAAACAAAGGTTCCTTTTCTGTTGAGGCATGAACTCAGGGAGTATCAGCAAATTGGTCTAGACTGGTTAGTAGCTATGAATGAAAGAAGATTAAATGGTATTCTTGCTGATGAAATGGGGCTTGGGAAAACAATTCAAGTTAGTTTGTATCATGTTTTTGTGCACCTGTGTGTGCTAGTGTAAGCAAGATACTCTAGGGCACCTTTTTTGGGAATTACATGTATTGAATAGGTGTGGGAGATAGGAGACACATACAGAAAAGTGTTGATAACGTGACACAGGAGTTGAATTTTTGAACAATTTTTTTTAGTGCATTTGTTTACATTATGGGCTATTGGGTTAACGTTACAAACATAACTTATACTTCCATACAAAGATTTTAAAAATTGCAAGGTTTTCATTGTCTAAAAATGAATTATGAAACAAAACACCAAATATGTGACACAAAACAAAAAATGGTTTATGTTATTCTTACGAACGATTTTCACAGATAAAGATCTCATGCAGGTATTTGTTTTTTACTCTTAACATGTACATGTACCAGTGCATGTAAAATTTAACCACTTTTCGCAGCCACCATCGCATGCAATCCATAAGTCATTACTTTCCGGAGATGAAATTCCACATTTTGGGCATATAGCTTCATTGTCACTAGCATCTATTTCCTGTCCTGAATCATCCAGTTTCAGTTCACTAATCTGACTTTCTAGCTTAGCCTCTTCAGATGTCTTTGCTGTACCTTTTCTTCTTCCTGATCTTGCTCCTTTCTGTCCTTGTTTTTTTTATCTCTGCCTTACTTTTTCTTTCTTCATCTTCTTCTCAATTTTCTTTCTCTCTTTTTCGGTCTTCCTTTCAGCCTTTAGTTGTTCATTGAGTTTCTTCCTGTCTTCCTTTGCCTTCATTTCTTCCAAAACCTGAGAGTCAGTAATACATATTGCTCTGCTATTGAGACCTCCTCTCCTTGTGACACGTTTCACTTCAAGAAGCACTAGCAATTCTTGAAGGTCAGAAGATGCTTTACTTCTCTCACTTGATATGTGAGAGGATGAGCTATCAGACAAAGTATCACTGACATTCACTTCAGGATGATTGATTTTCAGCCATGCAATATAGCCCGGGTCTTGTAAATCATATGTTTCCTTGTATCTCTTTTGATACAATGCTTCTAATGTGGGTGAAAACAGTGGACTACCTTGCAGCTGATCAAAAATGTACCTAGGCTCTGGAATACTTTGGTGAGTGGAATAAGGTTTTGATGGTGCTACTTGTCGGTCGGTCACTTTTCCAGGATTAATGGGCCACACTCCAGTCTTCTTAAAGCCTTTCATTATATTCATAGGTGTTAATGATGGTGGCCAACTAATGAAGCAATCACATTTACTGTAACAACTCGTCCTGGATTTTGACTCATATACATGTAATTGCTGCATGCCTTGTTAAAATTTCTTTTAAAGGATTTGAAAACCCCCACACCTAAGGGCTGGAGCAGTGACTAGTATGAGTTGGTAAACAAAGTATGTGAACATCATTGGCATGGGCCAATTTGATCAACTCAATTGAAATGTGTGAACTGTGTCCATCTTGCAGCAAAAGTACACGCCTGTACAGGTCGAGTAGGTGGTATATGTTGAAGAAAAAATTTAAACCATTCAACGAACAGCTCAGATTTTATCCATCCCGAATCACTAGTGACAAAGAGAGTATTAGGGACTGCTCATTCTCTTTGCAGTGGAGGAATGGGTCTTTTACGAGGGTATATCATCATAAGAGGTAAAGAAATACCACTAGCAGAAACATGTGACTGGATGGTATGAGTACATCCCTTCTTAGCTGCAGAGACAGCATAAACGTTTCTTCCCTTTCCGTATGGCTTAGTGACTCCACCACTTGTACCACCAGTTAGTGTGTCTGTACCTGTAATAATTATAAAAAGTATTAAAGTTATTGTATTTACATGTTGAATACCATACCCATTTTTTGTCCTTCCCATCATGAGCATTCATCCATGTTTTATGCATCAAGGTAGATGACTGGCCTGTTCTCTCCACGATACTTGTTGTGCATTCTAACTAAATATTTCTCACGTTTGATGATGTGAGGCTGCTCATAATAGATCCTCATGTTGACAGCTTTCCTAAACCTATAGTAAACCTATAGTTCATATTTGTTGGTAAGCGATGGAGAGTCGATCCTGATCCCTTAAAAGTGCCATCAGCCTTAAGTTCAGGAACGAGATTGTCAAGTGTAACGTACTGCTTCCTTGATTGCGTGAAACATATTTTTCTTCTAATAGCCATTGGATCAGAGCTATCAACGTTCAATGCATTCTGGTAAATTCTTTCCTTCTGCCTAAATCTTGTCGCTGAATTTTTTGAGAATCCAGTGATTTTAACAGTTTTCTGATAAGCAGTTCCTCCTCCTTTCTTGGACCTGGCTTCTTCCTTCAAGTGACTAATAAGTATAATACATTGATTATAATTTATAAGTTATGCAATTATTTTTTCTTAAATAGTTTCAAAAAGACTTTTCTTTCCAGAGCAAATCGTCTTTCACCTGGGCATGATCGAGAGTTAGTACCTTAAAAAGTTAACTTAGAAAAAACATGCAAAAAGAGTAACAGCTGCAACAAAAAGACAAAAACAAAAATTAATTTAAGAAGTACACATGTAGCTTGACCTTTATATAGAAGCTAAATGAAGCTTGATAATACATGTAGAAGTCAAGAATCAGCAACTAGAAAGACTAACATAATAGAGAAACCAACAGAATACAGAAAAGCAAAGCAACTATATCGTTTGGTGAGTGAAGTGTATAGCACCATGCAGCTAGCTGCACATGACTGACCACACCTTTTATTATCAGTATTGCGCCCACAAATGTCATGTACTGTAATATGATGTGTGTCGCGTGCGTCACGCATATTTCAAATTCCACGCAACTGCTTTTACTTCCAGCCCAAACTGAACTGACATGTATGTTCATTTGTTTATACATATCTACCCTTGGCTTAAAGTCAAGTGTCACACTAGATAAGCTCTTCTTTGTCATCCTGGTCTTTGTTTTAATCTAAACAAATTGAGAAAAGATTCTTTCTACATCAGCATTAGAAAGTGGAAGGGAAAGGAATGATGTCATCAGCTGTTGAAATCTGTGTTCCCCTGATGTGTTTGTAATTTTTTACTCACACTTCTCCAAAAGAGTCCACATATTGTTGTTGTCGCAGAACATGATGGAAGATCATTTGGGTACAAGAATTGGGTTTCTTTACATCCATCGTCCAGACATTACAACTTTGCATCATTGATATTGTTAGGGAAGCTATGTGCTAGACTATATAATAACCTCTTGACTGGAGTTAGAGTTAATGGTGCTGAGTTTAAAAACAGTAAGAGTCTTGAGAATTGGGTAATCACACATTTTGATTTGATTAGCTGCTTCATGCAGTATTAGTATTCATTTCATTCTTCATCTAAGCAATATTTGGCTTATCCAGGAATTGAGACACTTCATTCCCATATTCACTGATTAGGGTTCTATAGGAATTTTTGTTTGGGGGAAACCCAGAGCTTTTGACTGTGGGGGAGGCTGTGTACATACATGTATGTTCATGCACTATGCAGGTTCTGTATACTATTTCAATTTCATTTAAGAATTTTTGTAAAAGGTACATGATGCTTTCTATAGCATTATTTTTTTGTTTTGACTGGTCTATAATTTCTTCTGAAGTTTAATTTGGTAAGTTATCTGGGCCCTCAATCTAAATTTGCATGGCATGCTCCAGTGTAGATTCGCCCATTCAGTTGCAAAGCTGAGTCTTAATGAGTTTCATACTGCTAATTGTTCCTTTGACAGTAGCTTTTGTAACTGGCAGTACAATCAAAATAGATGCTAATTGGGCTAGATTGGGAAAGGAGCTTGCCGTAGTTGTATATGTAATTAGATAGGGTAGAACATGTTGCAATGAGCTTTTATTGTCATGTACAAGTATTAGTTGTCGGAAAAAGTTTCACTCTGACTCTGTGTCTTTCGGGTCAACATCAGGCTCTGATATACCCTTTTCTCCTTCTCCTGCACTTTGCCGTACGATGCAGCAAGGGTGTTCAATCTCTCTCAGGCTCTGATATACCCTTTTCTCCTTCTCCTGCACTTTGCCGTACCATGCTGCAAGGGTGTTCAATCTCTCTGTTCCATAGCTACCCAGTTCACTTTCATCTTCAGGAAGATATTTTGGGTCAAACACAGCCATGAAGGGATCAAGTTAGTTTTTTCTAATCAACCTTTGATGCTATTCTTTATACTCTGTTATGGATGGATGATACACTTTTTGGAGAAAGTGAGCTTTTGTGGCATTTGTGATGTCAATCATCAAGTTGTGTGAAGATAGCACTGTGGTCCTTGAACCATGTTGTGGCATTAGTGTCATCTTTTAACTCATTGAGTCACTGTAATGTTCTCCAGAAATGCAACCTTCTTGCGCTGTAAATTTGCTTCTAGCTTACAACAGTGTCTGACAGCATATAAATATACTATGTCCCAACTGAGTTTGGACCAAGAAAAACTGGAATAACTTTTTATAGAAATGTGGGATAAGGATGAGACTTTCACAGGTTCTTCGTTGCCCAATGCCGCTTCAGGATCTCAGGTCTTGGGTCTCTCAACCCTTGGGAACCCTGAGAACCGGGTTCTCCCTATAAACCCAATGGCATACCAAAGCTAACCGCAATGACGTTTTATGATGTCATAGTTTACATAAGCATATATGGTCGAGCTCCCAAACTGATAATTCTTCTTTTAAAATGCCAATAGAGCGAGATCTTCTGATAATGATGGCCTTTATAAAGACTAGTTGACTCCAGTAGCTATTGTACTGCTTATCAGGAAGAACAAGACTGTTTTAAGAGTGAAACAACACAGCCAAAGTATCGGCCATGTCTCTATGAATATCATTATAATACGTCATTAGTGACGTAACTACATTTTTCAAATTCCAATGCAGCTGCTTCCACTTCCGGTCCATTCTCAGTTGGGACATAGTATACAAGCAACAGTGTTGTAATTCATCAAAAGCATTGCGATTCCTTGAGCTTCAGTATTCCAAGTGTCATTGTTTATCTGGTCATAAGCTTCGTCGAACAGCA